TTTTTAACTGAGGATGAAAAGTTGTTGAGCAAAAGAGTTCCGACCTACCGGATTCGAACCAGTGACCTAAGGATTTTCTGCTACAACTACAGTCCTCCGCTCTACCAACTGAGCTAAGGTCGGTTTAATAGTATTAAACTTTCTTAGTATAGATGACTAAAACAAAAGAATTTTTCATGAATTATTGAACTATATATGTATATGAAGAGTGCTATAAGAAAGGTTAGCTAGTCACTTGGATGGTAGTTTGATACGATCCAAAATAGTTAACCACTTGAATGCATGGAAAAACATGGTAATAAAAATTTCCTTGAAATCAATCAGAACTTTTATAAAACATTTACTGAAAACGTGAACGGCAGGATTCGAACCTGCGCGGGCAAAGCCCACATGATTTCTAGTCATGCCCGATAACCACTCCGGCACGTCCACTTTTCTTTGATTGAAACATGATCTTAAAAGAGATTAAGCAGGATGATAGTGTCTTTCCATAATGTAGGCAAATAGACGAGTCTATGAAATCTTTGATTCGTTTTAGCAACTAGGTGAAAATGAAATAAGCAACAAACCATCGAAACCTCTCTGAATCAAACTCAATAAGTTTACGAACAATTCTATTCATCGGTAGATCGATAGGGAGTTTTATTTCACTGGGATACCACTTACAAGTTAAACCCCAATTTTACTAAATCAAACTTCATTTTATATATGTAGAAAATATTTTCCTGTGGTCAACGATTGTTATAGAATAATTAAAAATGAACACATCAAATTCATGCAAGAAAATGGCAAAGGGATCTCACTACCCTTAAGCGAACGTTGACAGCTTTTTGGCACATGCAACGATCCTCTTAATGAAATGATCTTTCCATTTTGAGTATTCATTAGTGTCCTATAGTTTTGGTGTCTTATCAAATTCAATGAAAAAAGTCTATCTCTAAGATTTTTGTATATGACCATTTGTTGTACCATCAACAGGTGACTAAACACTCCATCGAAAATCAAGTACTACTTACTAGGAGCATATTTTCTTGTAAGCCTCTCGGTATTTCGTTGGTAAACCATTTTCATGTATATTTTTCTTTCGGCATCTAACGAATGGAAAACATTTGAGAAACCAAAATTCCGACCTACCGGATTCGAACCAGTGACCTAAGGATATTCTGCTTCAACTACAGTCCTCCGCTCTACCAACTGAGCTAAGGTCGGATTTGTAACATACTATATGCGAGTGTACATACTCTAAAAATTGTACAAGCTAGCAACACTTTTCATTGTTTATACAAGTATAACTTTATTCTTCTGGCAAAAGAACACAAGTTTTATTCGGAAAAAAAAAGTAGTTCAGGACTTGGCGCCTCATCTCTTAGAGCATTCCCGTTAATCGGAAGAAATTGCAATGATTAAAGTTAACGTGAATTTTTCATATTGGATTGGCCTGCTTAACCCTAGCTAGCTTTTTCCTTTGTTGCCCGATAACAACCTCTTTAATTAAATCTTGTTTCGTTTTATAGAATATTCATTGATAAAGATGTGAATTATACTATATATGGTCCGTCAAAGTTACACACTTTGGCGGAGAAGATGCAAGATAATGAGAGTTTACTTACCTTGATTTCTTCCTTAAACGTAGAAGTTATAACTACAACACTTTTGTCTACCTTACCGTTTTTTGAAGATTGTCTGGAAAGAAACCAAAACTGCATAACTTATTATGATCAAATAAAAATATGCCCTAATTTCTATTAGAAACCCAAGTCAGTACTATATGCTACTACAAAGTATAATTTACCTCGCATATATCATATCAAACCGTTTCTAACTGAGGATGAAAAGTTGTTGAGCAAAAGAGTTCCGACCTACCGGATTCGAACCAGTGACCTAAGGATTTTCTGCTACAACTACAGTCCTCCGCTCTACCAACTGAGCTAAGGTCGGTTTAATAGTATTAAACTTTCTTAGTATAGATGACTAAAACAAAAGAATTTTTCATGAATTATTGAACTATATATGTATATGAAGAGTGCTATAAGAAAGGTTAGCTAGTCACTTGGATGGTAGTTTGATACGATCCAAAATAGTTAACCACTTGAATGCATGGAAAAACATGGTAATAAAAATTTCCTTGAAATCAATCAGAACTTTTATAAAACATTTACTGAAAACGTGAACGGCAGGATTCGAACCTGCGCGGGCAAAGCCCACATGATTTCTAGTCATGCCCGATAACCACTCCGGCACGTCCACTTTTCTTTGATTGAAACATGATCTTAAAAGAGATTAAGCAGGATGATAGTGTCTTTCCATAATGTAGGCAAATAGACGAGTCTATGAAATCTTTGATTCGTTTTAGCAACTAGGTGAAAATGAAATAAGCAACAAACCATCGAAACCTCTCTGAATCAAACTCAATAAGTTTACGAACAATTCTATTCATCGGTAGATCGATAGGGAGTTTTATTTCACTGGGATACCACTTACAAGTTAAACCCCAATTTTACTAAATCAAACTTCATTTTATATATGTAGAAAATATTTTCCTGTGGTCAACGATTGTTATAGAATAATTAAAAATGAACACATCAAATTCATGCAAGAAAATGGCAAAGGGATCTCACTACCCTTAAGCGAACGTTGACAGCTTTTTGGCACATGCAACGATCCTCTTAATGAAATGATCTTTCCATTTTGAGTATTCATTAGTGTCCTATAGTTTTGGTGTCTTATCAAATTCAATGAAAAAAGTCTATCTCTAAGATTTTTGTATATGACCATTTGTTGTACCATCAACAGGTGACTAAACACTCCATCGAAAATCAAGTACTACTTACTAGGAGCATATTTTCTTGTAAGCCTCTCGGTATTTCGTTGGTAAACCATTTTCATGTATATTTTTCTTTCGGCATCTAACGAATGGAAAACATTTGAGAAACCAAAATTCCGACCTACCGGATTCGAACCAGTGACCTAAGGATATTCTGCTTCAACTACAGTCCTCCGCTCTACCAACTGAGCTAAGGTCGGATTTGTAACATACTATATGCGAGTGTACATACTCTAAAAATTGTACAAGCTAGCAACACTTTTCATTGTTTATACAAGTATAACTTTATTCTTCTGGCAAAAGAACACAAGTTTTATTCGGAAAAAAAAAAGTAGTTCAGGACTTGGCGCCTCATCTCTTAGAGCATTCCCGTTAATCGGAAGAAATTGCAATGATTAAAGTTAACGTGAATTTTTCATATTGGATTGGCCTGCTTAACCCTAGCTAGCTTTTTCCTTTGTTGCCCGATAACAACCTCTTTAATTAAATCTTGTTTCGTTTTATAGAATATTCATTGATAAAGATGTGAATTATACTATATATGGTCCGTCAAAGTTACACACTTTGGCGGAGAAGATGCAAGATAATGAGAGTTTACTTACCTTGATTTCTTCCTTAAACGTAGAAGTTATAACTACAACACTTTTGTCTACCTTACCGTTTTTTGAAGATTGTCTGGAAAGAAACCAAAACTGCATAACTTATTATGATCAAATAAAAATATGCCCTAATTTCTATTAGAAACCCAAGTCAGTACTATATGCTACTACAAAATATAATTTACCTCGCATATATCATATCAAACCGTTTCTAACTGAGGATGAAAAGTTGTTGAGCAAAAGAGTTCCGATCTACCGGATTCGAACCAGTGACCTAAGGATTTTCTGCTACAAATGTAACATCCATAAACCAAAAATAAAAATTGGGAATTTTGTCGGTTCAATTTAAGTGAATTGGTTTGGGTCGGTTTAGTGGAGAAAGCCCTAAAATCAAGTTTAAAGAGTGCAGCCGTCTTCTCTTTGGAGAATTTTCGAGTTCAGATGCTGTAGAGGAGAAAAGTTGAGTTTTTGGAGAGATTTTCGAATTTTACTGTTCATCGGTACTGTTCATCGGTACTGTTCACGGGTTACTGTTCATCGGTACTGTTCACGGGTTACTGTTCATCGGTACTGTTCACGGGTACTGTTCATCCGCGATTCGGCACTGTTCATTGTCTTCCTTTTTCCTTCAGTTTCAATCATTGTCAAGGTGAGTGCATGACTGTGGGTCCGTGATTTGCTAGATTAGATTTGGTTTGTGGTTGTTCTTGATGAGTTTATGTTTTAATTGTTATTTTTATGATATTTTGGTTGTTCATGTGATGAATTGTGTGTTTGTGTGGTTTAATCTGGTTTATTGGTTTAATTGAATTTAATTGATTTAATTGGTTTATCTTGGTTCAATTGAATTTAATTGGTTTATATTGGTTTAATTGAATTTAATTGGTTTAATGAATTAAATAGATTTAATTCGGATTTAATTAATTAAATAATATTTATTTAATTAATTGGTTTAAAATAATTATTTTAATTATTTTAAAATATGGAAAATTATTATTTAATTATGAGAATTATTTAATAATTGAGAAATTGAGTTTTAATTATTAAAAATTATTTAATAATTGGAAAATGGTATTTAATAATTATTGGAGTTTATAAATATTATTAAATATCTAGTAAATTGCGTAAATGGCTCGTAGGCAGAGTGATTGCCTCACTAAGTATTTATTAAATACTTACGCAACTCCATTCCAATGTGTTGCAGGTAAAAGATTTGTGTGATCGCGGAATCAAGGCTGAAGAGGGGGATGATAGGATGTTTACTGTTTTATTGTTTTGCATTATTTTGCTAGACTTGTTTAATTATTATTTGCTTCCGCTGAGCTGATTTATTTGTTATTGATATTTTATTTATTTAATTTATTTTTAAGACCTTCGCTAGAATTGATTAATATTTATTAAAAAAAAAAAAATGTTGGTTGTTTCATTTTGGTATCAGAGCCTAGACGGTTTTAGGACAGTTAGAATTGCTAGGCTTAGTATCATCCCCTTCAGCTAAAGGAGATTCCGCGGTGAGTTATTGGTGTTTGTGTTTTGTGTTATTGTCTAGTTGCTCATGTTCGGGTCCATGCAGTGAGATGGACGGAGCTCCTAGAGGTCGTGGCGCGAGAGGGCGCGGTGCTAGAGGTCGTGGCGGCAGAGTTGGCCGTGGCGGCAGAGCTGGTGGTAGAGCTGGAGGCCGAGCAGGCCGAGGTCGTGGTCGTGGACTTCCGGAGGAGTCGGGAGAGAGTGCGGCACCGAGTGTGCATACTGCGTCGGTGACCCAGTCAGTTCCGTTGGCGGGTGATGCCAGTGCGAGTGTTGGTTTGGGAGCGGGGGCTGCTCCGGGTGGGGGTGGCGCTCCGGCTCCGGGTCATGATGACTTAGTGGTGGGTTTGCTGACGCAGCTGTTGGCTCGTTTTCCGCCGGTGGTTCCACAGGGGGCTCCAGGAGTACCGCCAGTGGCAGAGGTGCAGCATGTTGCTGCAGGCGTTGCGCAGCCGGAGGCTGTGGATGCGGGTGTGACCAGTTATTTGGAGTTTATGGGCCACATGCAGAGATTGGTACGCCTTTCTTCGAGGGTAGAGTTGGTCCAGAGGAGGCAGACGCGTGGCGTCAGAGAGTGGAGCGGAACTTTCATTCGATCCGTTGTCCGATAGAGTACTGGGTGGAGTTAGCGGTCCACTATTTGAGTGGCGATGCTCATTTGTGGTGGCAGGCCGCGGTGGGCCGGAGGGCATTTTGGACTTGGGGCGACTTCCTTGTGGAGTTCAACGCCAAGTATTTCCCGAGGCAGGCTCGTGATCGTCTTCAGATGCGGTTTATGGGCATTGAGCAGGGTTCGCGTTCTGTACGCGAGTATGATGAGGAGTTCAGCCGTCTGTTAGTGCATGCGGGCTTTGGTATGGAGCTGAGCATCAGTTGACGAACAGATTTCTGGAGGGACTTCGCAAGGATATTCGGACTCTATGCAGGAGTAGTATGCACACTTCGAGGGCGAGTCTGGTAGAGTTGGCCGCGTCGGTTGAGGCGGATCTTGGTGGGCCAGTTGGTCCGGTGGCTGTGCCGTCAGCAGTTGCTTCTGCTACCCAGCCTCGGGGTCAGCATCAGCAGCCGCGACAGCAGCAGCAGCAGCAGCGCAGAGGTGGTTCGAGTTTCAGTTCTGGTTCTGGCAGGGGCGGTTTGCCTGCGCAGGGTCAGAAGAGGAGTAGAGAGGAGTTTTCTGGTGCTAGTCAGTTTCCTCGTGGTTCCTGTTTTGGGTGTGGGAGCACGGAGCATCGTGTTTCGAGTTGTCCCAAGAGAGAGTCAGCACCGAGTGTGCTACTACTGCAAGGAGCCTGGGCATATCAAGCCCATGTGTCCTAAGTTGCGGAGTATGTCGGTGGCTTCGGTTCAGCCAGTAGCGGCTCAGCCAGTGAGTCAGATCGCAGCAGTGCAGCCGTTGGGTCAGATTGCACCGGCGTCGCGGGGTTACTCTTCGGTGGAGACTGTCAGACCGGGACAGGTAAATCTTCGACTCAGAGACCGGACAGATCACAGGGACCTTGTTAGTGGGCGGTTTTGAGTCCCACGTTTTATTCGACTCTGGAGCATCGAATTGCTTCATTACACCGGAGCGTGCCGAGAAGAGTGGCATCCGGAGTAGCGCGGGCGAGAGCGCGGGCATGGTCAAGGTGGCGGGAGGTGGATTCTTGTCTACTTTGGGCCGTGCTAGAGGAGTCGAGATCGAGATTGCGGGGCAGTCAATGCCAGCAGACTTAGTCATCAGTCCGGTGGAGCTGTATGACGTTATTCTCGGGATGGACTGGTTGTCACACTACAGAGTTCATCTGGATTGCTACAGAGGTAGAGTGGTCTTCGAGCGAGATGCAGGGAGGTTGGTTTATCAGGGAGTGAGACCGACTTCCGGGAGTATTGTGATATCTGCTATTCAGGCCGAGCAGTTGTTAGTGCGGGGCTGTGAGGCGTATCTGGCGACGATTTCTATGTCTGAGTCAGGAGCTGGAGTTGTTATGGGAGATATTGAGGTTGTCCAGGATTTTGAGGATGTCTTTCAGTCACTGAAGGGATTACCACCATCTCGGTCTGATCCTTTCACGATTGAGTTAGAGCCGGGGACAGCACCGATATCGAAGACGCCTTACAGGATGGCGCCAGCTGAGTTGGCAGAGCTGAAGAAGCAGATAGAGGACCTTTTGTCTAAGGGGTTCATTCGACCAAGTGTTTCACCGTGGGGAGCACCGGTGTTGTTTGTGAAGAAGAAGGATGGCAGTTTCAGACTTTGTATCGATTACAGAGGTCTTAACCGAGTCACTGTGAAGAACAGGTACCCACTCCCGAGGATTGATGAGTTTGGATCAGTTGAGGGGTGCTACTTGGTTCTCCAAGATTGACTTGGCATCGGGGTATCATCAGATCCCGATAGATGAGGCAGATGTCAGGAAGACTGCTTTCAGGACGCGTTATGGGCATTTTGAGTTCGTGGTTATGCCTTTCGGTTTGACTAACGCGCCGGCAGCCTTCATGAGATTGATGAACGACGTGTTCAGGGAGTATTTGGATGTGTTCGTCATCATTTTCATTGATGATATTCTGGTATACTCGAGGAGTCAGGAGGAGCATGCGACTCACTTGAGGTTGGTTCTGGAGAAGCTTCGGGAGCAGAAGCTTTTCGCTAAGTTGAGCAAGTGCAGTTTCTGGCAGCGAGAGATGGGATTTCTTGGCCACATTGTTTCTGCAGAGGGAGTTTCTGTGGATCCGGCTAAGATTGAGGCTATCAGAGATTGGCCTAGACCTAGTAGTGCCACCGAGATCAGGAGTTTTCTGGGTTTGGCAGGATACTACAGGAGGTTCGTCAAGGGGTTTGCTACCATGGCGCAGCCGATGACGAAGTTGACCGGGAAGGATGTCCCTTTTGTTTGGTCAGCTGAGTGTGAGGAGAGCTTTAGTCAGCTCAAGGAGATGTTGACTACTACACCAGTGTTGGCGTTACCCGAGCCAGGGAAGCCTTACATGGTGTATACAGATGCTTCAGGCATTGGTCTTGGTTGTGTGCTGATGCAGGAGGGCAGAGTGATAGCATATGCTTCGAGACAGTGGCAGGGCAGTGAGCGTAACCGTCCTACACATGACTTAGAGTTGGGAGCAGTGATCTTCGCGTTGAAGATTTGGAGGTCTTACTTGCTAGGTGAGACAGTACAGGTCTTCACGGATCACAAGAGTTTGCAGCATATCTTCACTCAGCCGATGATGAACGCGAGACAGACGCGCTGGGTTGAGTTCTTGGCGGACTATCAGGTGAGCATTAACTACCATCCGGGCAAGGCTAACCTAGTGGCGGACGCGTTGAGTAGACGGAGGTATGATTCCGCAGTTGAGCGAGATGTGGAGTCTCTAGTTGGCGAGATCAGTACCTTGCGTTTGTGTGCCATTTCGCAGGAGCCTTTGGGTTTAGAGGCAGTGGATCAGGCGGATCTACTTAGCAGGATCAGAGTTGCTCAGCAGAGTGATCAGAGTTTGCTAGATGCGACGAGAGTGACTGGTTCTGAGTATGAGGTCTCTGCGAATGGGACTATCTTGGTTCGTGGGCGAGTTTGTGTGCCTAAGGATGTGGAGTTGAGACATCAGATTTTGGGAGAGGCTCACGCGAGCAAGTTTTCCATTCATCCGGGAGCGACCAAGATGTACCATGACCTCAAGAGGTACTATCATTGGGTCGGGATGAAGAGGGATGTAGCAGACTGGGTTGCGAAGTGCAACACTTGTGCCTTGGTGAAGGCAGAGCATCAGGTTCCGGGTGGTCTTTTGCAGAGTTTACCCATTCCAGAGTGGAAGTGGGACAGGATTACGATGGATTTCGTGGTTGGACTACCTGTTTCGAGGACTTTCGATGCTATCTGGGTGATTGTGGATCGGTTGACTAAGTCCGCACATTTCTTGGCCATCAAGAAGACAGATGGAGCTGCTGTCTTGGCTAGGAAGTTTGTGCGAGAGATTGTGAGGCTGCATGGAGTGCCAGCTAGTATTGTGTCAGACCGTGATCCCAGATTCACTTCAGAGTTTTGGAGGGCGTTTCAGGCAGAGATGGGCACTAAGGTGCATTTGAGTACAGCTTATCATCCGCAGACAGATGGTCAGTCAGAGAGGACTATTCAGACTTTGGAGGATTTGCTGAGGATGTGTGTGTTGGATTGGGGTGGCCATTGGGCAGATCACCTGAGCTTAGTTGAGTTTGCATACAACAACAGCTTTCAGGCGAGTATTGGCATGGCTCCATTTGAGGCTTTGTATGGGAGGCCATGTAGGACACCCCTATGCTGGACCCAAGTGGGGGAGCGCAGCATGTATGGAGCTACTTATGTTCAGGAGACGACAGAGAAGGTCGTGTTGTGAGGCTGAACATGAAGGAGGCTCAGGATAGGCAGAAGAGTTATGCAGATAGACGCAGACGAGAGCTTGAGTTTCAGGTTGGAGATAGAGTTTATCTCAAGATGGCTATGTTGAGGGGTCCTAACAGATCCATAGCAGAGAACAAGCTGAGTCCGCGATTTATGGGTCCGTTTCCAGTAGTGGAGCGAGTTGGGCCATTGGCTTACAGGCTGGAGTTGCCTGAGATTATGAAAGCCTTTCACAAGGTTTTTCATGTGTCGATGCTGAGGAAGTGTCTTCACCCTACAGAGGAGTTAGTGGCTAGGATTCCAGAGGATCTTCAGCCAGATTTGACAGTGCCGGCAGTGCCTGTGAGGATTTTAGAGAGGAGGGAAAAGGTTCTGAGGAACAAGAGGATTCCCTTACTGAGGATTTTGTGGGATTGCAGTGGTTCTACAGAGGAGACTTGGGAGCCAGAGGCAAAGATGAAGTTGAAGTTCAGGAAGTGGTTCGACAAGCAGGTCGAGGAGTGAGCTTATTTCATCTTTGTAGCCTCAGTTGTTATTTTTGGCTTTGGTGTTATTGTATTTTCGTTTTCGTTGTAACGATATACATTTTGGAGTTTTAATGAGATGCAGTTTTTCCTCATTTTGCCTTGTGTTGTGAAATGGTATTCGGATGTTACACATGTTTGACCAGTTTTTGGTTGTGAGACGGTCTAATCTTATGGTTATAGACATTTTCCGGAATTTTTACTCTAAGGATTGCGATCCTGAATAACTCATCATGTTTTTGGAGACTTCGTTCTCTGGCAGACTCTCTGGGTGCAAGTAGGCCTCAGTTGAGTGTAGCTTATATGGGTGCAAGTAGGCCTCAGTATAAGCAGTTTAGTTCATCTGGGTGCAAGTGGGCCTCAGTATGGACGTTTTCGGGTTCGTCTGGGTGCAAGTGGGCCTCAGTGCGGACCGGTGTGGACTTGTCTGGGTGCAAGTGGGCCTCAGTACAAGTTGTTTGGTGTGTTTGGATGATGAGTTAGGAGTGAAATTTTCTTGGAACGTGTTTATGACATAAGATATGACGTTTGTCTCGGGGATCAAGTGAGGATCTCCGGTGTTGCGGCCTTGCGAGGTGGGTTTTGTGGTCTTTGTGACGTTTGCGTTGGGATTCGAGGACGAATCCAGTTTAGTGGGGGAGAGTTGTAACATCCATAAACCAAAAATAAAAATTGGGAATTTTGTCGGTTCAATTTAAGTGAATTGGTTTGGGTCGGTTTAGTGGAGAAAGCCCTAAAATCAAGTTTAAAGAGTGCAGCCGTCTTCTCTTTGGAGAATTTTCGAGTTCAGATGCTGTAGAGGAGAAAAGTTGAGTTTTTGGAGAGATTTTCGAATTTTACTGTTCATCGGTACTGTTCATCGGTACTGTTCACGGGTTACTGTTCATCGGTACTGTTCACGGGTTACTGTTCATCCGCGATTCGGCACTGTTCATGTCTTCCTTTTTCCTTCAGTTTCAATCAATTGTCAAGGTGAGTGCATGACTGTGGGTCCGTGATTTGCTAGATTAGATTTGGTTTGTGGTTGTTCTTGATGAGTTTATGTTTTAATTGTTATTTTATGATATTTTGGTTGTTCATGTGATGAATTGTGTGTTTGTGTGGTTTAATATGGTTTATTGGTTTAATTGAATTTAATTGATTTAATTGGTTTATCTTGGTTCAATTGAATTTAATTGGTTTATATTGGTTTAATTGAATTTAATTGGTTTAATGAATTAAATAGATTTAATTCGGATTTAATTAATTAAATAATATTTATTTAATTAATTGTTTAAAATAATTATTTTAATTATTTTAAAATATGGAAAATTATTATTTAATTATGAGAATTATTTAATAATTGAGAAATTGAGTTTTAATTATTAAAAATTATTTAATAATTGGAAAATGGTATTTAATAATTATTGGAGTTTATAAATATTATTAAATATCTAGTAAATTGCGTAAATGGCTCGTAGGCAGAGTGATTGCCTCACTAAGTATTTATTAAATACTTACGCAACTCCATTCCAATGTGTTGCAGGTAAAAGATTTGTGTGATCGCGGAATCAAGGCTGAAGAGGGG